GGCAAATTGGATGGTTCCACCCACCTAATTGGACTCCCGGAGGAAATTAGGGACCATTGTAAACATTTCGGCAATTTTTATATCCGGGTGAAAAATAAGTTGAAAATTTCTAAAATTGAAAGCTAATATTCATGCTTTTTGAGTAATTTTGGAGGTTTCGGGGCCCTGTGTAGAAAAGCCTTTAGATTATAGGGGATACATCTCGGGGTCATATAACGCCTTTTTGAACCCTATATGATCATTATATGTTGTCATAAATGTTCGTGGTAGGCTTGATTTAATGAAATCGGTGCAAGTTGTAAACCGGTAAATTGGTCGTTTAATTGCAAATTGGATGGTTCCACCCAGCCAATTGGACTCCCGATGATATTAGGGACTATGGTAAATATTTCGGCGATTTTTATTTATGGGTGAAAAAAAGTCAAAAAATTCCAAAATTGAAGGCTAATATCCTAGTTTTTTGAGAAATTTTGGAGGTTTCAGATAAAGCTGTCAATTTAGGTAAACGGGTCGGGTTTGGGTCGGTAAGAGTGGGTCGGGTCAATTCGGATTAATTCAATAACTTATGCGGTTGGGGTTTGGTCATGCTTGAGTCGGGTCACGTCAGGTCATACTTCTTATCGGGTTTGGGTCAGGTTAATAACAGGTTGGGTTACATTCGGGCCGGGTGAACAATAGCTCGGGTTTTCACAGGTTAAAACGGGTTAGGGTAATTCTCGGGTTCGAGTCTGATTCGGTTCATGTCAATAATTGCGGGTTAGAATCAGGTCGGGTCATTCTCAGGTTTGATTCGGGTTCGGTTCAAGTCAATAATTTGCGGGTTATAATCAGATCGGGTCATTTTCAAGTCGGGTCCTTCTCGGGTTCAAGTAGGATTCGGTTCAAGTCAATAATTTGCGGGTTATAATCAGGTTAGGTCATTTCCAAGTCGGGTCATTCTCGGGTTCAAGTCGGGTTATGTTCAAGTCAATAATTTGCTGGTTACAATCAGGTCGGGTCATTTCTTATTCAGGTCATATTCGGGTTCAACTAATTATAAATAGATAATTATCATTTTTATCAAGCTAATTATTTCCTTTGACTATAATATATATGGCAATATACTAGGGAACCATAGTTTATAATTTAGGAAGATAATTATCTTCTTTGACCATACAACAAATATATATATATATATATATATATATATATATATATATATATATATATATATATATATATATATATATATATATATATATATATAGATATATATATATATATAGATATATATATATATATATATATATATATATATATATATACTATATTTAACTCTTAAATTTGAGGATGATGCTCCTTTCTTTTGCTGGTCTGGACCGACTTGGTCTTCCGAGACAAAATGTTTTGATCAACAATAATAAGGTGGTCTAAATAGCATTTAAGGTGATTTGAAATCGGGTTAGGAATAATTTTGGTTGAATTTAGGTTGGGTCAATGACAAGTCGTGTTTATTTCGAGTCGAGTTAGTTACAGATCGGGTTGAATTTTTGGGTCGGGTTAGTAATAGGTCTGGTAAAATTCGGGTCGGGCCAATAACAAATTGGGTTGAATTTGGATCAGGTCAATAACAAATCGGGTTGATTTTGGGTCGGGTTTATAACAGGTTGGGTTAAATTCGCGCTGGGTTAGGAACGGGTCGGGTTGAATTCAGGTCGGGTTAGTAACAAGTCGGGTTAAATTCGGGTTTTGACGAGTTAAAATGGGTTTGGGTCAATTTCGGTTCAAGTCGGGTTCGATTCAGGTCAATAATTTATGGGTTACATTCAGGTCGGGTCATCTCCAGGTCAGTTCATGTTCGGGTTCGGGTCTCACATATTCGGGTCAACTCGGGTATATGGTTGGTTTCAGGTCGGGTTTGAGTCACCATTTTTTCGGATTGAGATGGGTTGGTCATTAATCGGGTTTGAGTCGGTATTTCAGATCGGGTCAACTTTTAATAGCTCTATGTATATTAGTGTAACTTATTACATTAAATGCATAGGTATATTAGGTAATTAGGTTGTTGAATAAAAAGGTAGGAAAAACTATATTAAATGTATTCCAAAAAAAAAAAAAGTGAGGGTGAGGTACAGGGGCGGAGCCATGTAGGAACAAGGGGGGACGGTTGTCCCCCATTTTTCCAAAAAAAAATTTAATTTATGTTAGCTTAAATAAATGCTGTAAATAAGAATAAATACCTTACATGTATACCTTATATAACAAAGACAACATTTGGTCTGGTGGTTGATGGGCTTGAGTAAAGCTTGTATTTCTCTTTGATCCTAGGTTCGATTCTTTACCCGATCATTTTTTTTGTTTCTTTTTGCTATTTTTGGACTTTATTTTTATTTCATTTTATAGTTTATACAAAGTGCTCCTATTTAACTTCTTTTTCTTGTTTTTGGATTTTGCCATTTTTTTTTTTACTGGTTTTTAAATTTCATTATATAGTATGTAATTTATATATACAAAGTATTATAAGTCTTCAAACCTCTAACTACTCTCATTTAACTGTTTAATCAAGTATCGCCTTGTTGATAGTGATTACTAATGTGTTATTAAACTATTTGTAATGAACACATGTCTCCGTATTTTTTTATCTCTCTAATTATGTGTGCCTAAATTCTATTTTTTTTATAGCTTGTTTGGAACTAAGTTTCCAATTTTATTTTTAGTCAAAGAAAGTTTATTTATTTATTATTATTTTTTTTTTTAAAATGTAACCCAAATCCCTTTACATCTACTATCAATTTGTGTAAATGCTTATCATTTGATAAATCATATTTATCGATTATTAAGGATTACATACCTTAAAATTGGGGTTTACCAGCATAAAAAAAAAAATGGTTAATAAATTTCTTAATATGCAATTAATTTTTTAACAACTCCTCTTTCACCATATAAGAATAATTGTCATATCTCATAAGCGATTTCAAATATATATTAAACAATTTATGTGATCAATTTCTTTTTTCTTAATTATTGTCGATTATTAAACATCTAAAAATTGTCCCCCCGGATTACAAATCCTGGCTCCGCCACTGGTGAGGTACATATAGGTTTTGGCCTTTGAGATCTAATTCATACACGGAGTATATTTTTCGTAATTAGTCAAAAAAAAAAAAAAAAAAAAAGTGAGGGTGAGGTACAAACAAGGGCAAATTAGTCAATCTCTCCCTCACCCACCAATTCACCACCAAATCCCCTTCTTTCATTTCCTACCCTCCTCAACTCAAACATCAACTTGAGAAATTCACAGAAATGAGTGCGCAATCTCAAACACCCCCAATCCCCAACATAACCACCAACCAAGCCCAAGCCCAAGCCCAAGCCCAAACCCGAGCCCAAAAATGGAACTGGTCATCCGCCATTATCGGCGCAACAACGGCGGCAGCATCGGCGGCGCTAATAACCGCCCGACCACGTGACCCAGCTTTCGAGGTAATCTCCATCGACTTAACAGCCTTCAAACTCAATTTCCCAGCTTTAGACGCCGAACTCATCCTAACCGTCCACGTCAACAACCCCAACATCGCAGCCATCCATTACGACTCAACCACCATGTCTATATTCTACGACGGCGCACTCCTCGGCTCGGCTCAGATGAAGGCTGGGTCCCAGCCGGCTCGCTCTTGTCGGCTCCTCCGGTTCCCGGCTCGGCTTAGTGGGTTGGAGCTGATGGCTAACCATGCTAGAAGGTTTTTGGCTGACGTGGCCAAGAGAGAGATGGTGATTGATGCTGCTGTTGACGTGGACGGTGCAGCGAGAGTTTTGTGGTGGGACCATAAGTTTAGAGTACACGTGGAAAGTCATGTGTCCGTTGATCCTGTTTTTCTTGATGTTATTGATCAGGAAAATAAATCTCAGATGGACCTTTTCGTTTCTTGATTTATTGAATTCCATTTCATTCGTGTAATTTATTTATTTAATTAATTAATTGATTTTTTTTTGTGTGAATGAAAATTGTTTGGTAGCTGTTTAAATTGCCCTATCAAAATTGGACTATTTCAATCCTACGGGTATTTTCCTTAAATTTGTTTTATTTGTCGTACTACGTATGTTTCAATGTTACCTATCAAATTTGGATTATGATTTATCATGGCAACTCAATCAAATACATGTGAAAAGAGCATTAAAACTTGGTTCCTATAAGTCTATAATGATTGTGCCAAAATCAGTTTTTGGTCACTTAAATCAATTAAGATGAGCAACAAAGTTTAAAACATTCCGAGTTATGAGTCTATAACTCAAATCCAACATTCCCTTGAAAATCCGATGTGAGTTGTAATCTCGTCAAGTAGATCTAAAGCCTGAAAAGGTGACTTGACTAAGGTGACTTAAGGGTCTATTCTCTTCAGCTAGTTTTTAGCTTAGTTAGTTCAATTTCAATCCGTTCAATTCAGTAAATCAAAACAGGCCCAAGTCATGCTTCAATAAAAAAAAGTGGACGATTGGTCCAAGCCATCTAACACAAACAAAAGAAAAGTAACAAATTTTACACATGTTTTATGTGCAAATGTGCAATGGAGTATAATAAAGACCTCTTCGGCTCTTTACAAGTTCACATTGCATGACCAATTTAGGACCCAATAAAAATAAAAATAAAAGAAGTTATAGTACTACCCTACCATAACTCCACTTCCTTATTCAAATGCCCACATTCAAATAGCATGGGAAAACGCCTACATTAACAAATTGCGCACTCCAAAAATATGAAAAATTGGGAAATGACAAATTACAAATTGACCCAACAACTTTTCATCTATTTGTCATACTATATCTACTTGACTCATTGGGACTCAGCAATCACTAAATAGCCAAATTCTCTAACAATCAACCCAATTTTACCCCATTATCTCTTTCCTCCTCTCATTTCAATCCTCTAACATCCATAATTTCATCTAAAAAAAACCCCCTTTTTTTTTACCAAAAAAGCCAAAAAAAAATCAACTGTTTCTGCCCATGGTAGCAATTTTACCATGGGCAAAAAAGTAAATTGGAGTTGGACCTCGGCTCTCATTGGAGCCACGGCCGCCACCGCAGCCACCACTTTTTTCTTCGTCAAGCCGAAAGTACCCAGCTTTCGGCTTGTTAGCCTCACGGCGTTACAATTAAAATTCAAAAACTCGATCAATGAGGGGCATTCGTATTCGAACGAGGAGCTCACTAATAATAATAAAAAGCTCCCGCGCCTTGATGCGGACCTAATCCTTACTATACACGTCACTAACCCGAACATCCTGCCTGTCCGCTACTCCGCCACGTCACTCTCGATTTACTATGATGGGTCGTATTTGGGCTCGGCCCATGTTCCAGCTGGATCACAACCGCCCAATTCTTGTCAGTTGTTGCGACTTCAGGCCCGGCTTAATGGACAAGAGTTGGCCCATCATGCAAAGCGGTTTATTGGGGATGTTACGAAAAGAGCAATGGCTATTGATGCTGAGGTGGATATTTGTGGTTGGGCAAAGATGATGATGTGGGCCCCTAAGTTTAAGGTCCACGTGGATAGCCGCATCATCATTGATCCTGTTATGCTTGATGTCATTGATCAAGAGAATGAGTCTCGCTTGAAATTGTTTGTCTAGTACGGAGTAAAATTTGTAGTTTTGGGTTGACTAAAAAACCCAAAACCAGGGTTTTTGGGTTAAGACTAAAATTTTTGTAGGTTTTTTATATCTTGTTTTTTCTTTTATGGTCCATTTTATATTTGTCAACCAAAGGCCCAAAGGAAACAAGGCCCACTTAAGATTTTCATAACTTGTGAGGTTGTGTACTTGTGTAGTTGTGTTACTTAATTGTGTATGTAATTAATTGTGGTTTTTTGTAAACATTTTGTTAAGTCATTTTAGATGAGACGGAATCATATCAAGAGATAGAAAATGTCTCGAATTTTGCATCAAAAAAGTTATATACTTGTATCAAAAGTTTAACTTTATGGTTGAAGCTCAATAATATGTTTTATACTGTAATAGTTCATATGCTTTAGGTTTTTTGACTGGCCTCTCAATGTTCATGTTAGCTTAATCTTTATACTTATAATAAAATTTTCTTATATGTATAGTACTTCGTATCAAATTGAAGTGCAAAAACGAACACTAATGTTAAAGTTTGTATCTCAAATGACTCTACGCCTCAATTAGTTTATAACTTTATACTCCATACAATTTAGTAATTTCTCCGTTTTTTTTACTTGACCCGCTTTGACTTTTACTCAATTTATCACCTCATATTTAACCGACTTTTGTGAATTATATATAAGGAAAACATATTCATGTGAGATCTTGTCAGAATCATCTAATTAAATATTATCAAAATATATAATTTTTACTTATAGAATATTAATGATTGTTAAGTTGTGGATCGACAAACATGATAAAAGAAAACGATCAAGTAAAAAAGATTTGATGAAGTTTGTTATAGATACAATTCTTCAAATGTACAACATTAGTTATTTCCTTTCTTAATCCCCAAAAAATGTGAAAGCCTTGACTCAAAGTCGCACAACTATTATTCCTAATGGTGCTCCCAAGTAATTTTATGCTGTGCTTTATTAAATTAATAATACAAGGACTTCAAAATGAATATAAAATACAGTGTTATTTGACTTCTTACCTAATCTAGTAATCTTGGAAGTTCAACTTGGACAAATTAGCAAGATACGAAGTATTACACCTTTAATTTAAAATTTCAAATATTGAAGTAGTAAGAAAGGGAAAACCATTGACTTCGCTTCATCAATCTTGATAATGGTGGGTAAGATACAGTTAGCTAATAGGCATGTGACATGATATTATCACACATTTTGTTTTTATTTTTGACGGATTACATGAAAGTGACATTTTTAGATCTTTATTTACATAATCTTTTGGTATTAATCACAAATTAATAAAGAGGAAATTATAATTATTCTTTAATTTTCTTCTTTATTATGAGTGTAATCTCATGGCAGTGGCAACATAATAATGATGTTCCAAATTTAGCTAAACCATAGCCAATTATAAAACCAGATAGTAGTTGAAAAAACATTATTAATTTTTCTAAGGTGGTATGATTTTTGCTTTTGAATCTTGATGACCTAATTTTCTTTTTATAATTAGATCTTAGTCTCCTCGTGTAATGATAGCATGGTACATGCATGCGTGATGATAGTTTGAAAGTTGAAATTAAGTAGGGTGACGTACATGTTTTCAAGCTCCCTTAGATATATTACTTGATAGACCACCAAGTAACACAAATATAGCACACAACACAGTACATGATTTGTGATTGTATCATGGTATATTTGTATGTGCTTATGTGCTATACTACCAACTAGAAAGGCCTACATAATTGTCGGGAGATTAAGGTGTTGTCAATTCATTTTATTTTCACTTATAAAAAATAAAAGAAGTTCATAATAAAAAAAAAAAGATCAGTAAAATAAATTTCGTTGATGATTAATAGCAAGTTATGTTAATTTACAGCTAAATTAAGTTATAATAATGTTTAATGAGTTTATTTAATTTTAGACAATGCCTTATTATAAATTATTAGTATGTTCATGGGTAAAGTTGTAGTATATTATTTCACTTTGTCTTGTTATTTTGAATATACAATGATGTGGGAGGCAAGAAGGGAGCGGAGATATAGAGTAGATTGTAACATGAAAAGTAAGATAAAGTTAGGGTTAAGGCATTTGATTGTTAATACAATAAAAAAGTACCAACTTATGGTTTTTAGTATAAAAGTTATAATAATTATTACTTTAAATGTGAGATGTAAAACCCTAGCTTTGGAGTGATATAGTGACAAGTATTAATTCGAGTCACTAAATGGGGTAAGATCAAGCTTAATTAGTCGAATGTGATTCCTACTTTATTGTGTCCATGCTCATCAAATCTTGGATAAGATTACATTAGAGTTAGATCAGGTCACATATACGTCGGGTTTTTTTTTTTTTTTTTTTTTTTCTAGCTCAAAACTTTATACTTGATATATATAAACTAGCAATTATACCATTTTTTTTTTTTATAAAAATGTACTCCCTCCGTCCCTAAATTACATTCCTCTTTCTCTCTATTATGTGAGGAATAAATGCTAGAAAGAGGAATGTAATTTAGGGACGGAGGGAGTAACATTTTGTGTAGAACTTTTAAATTTGCTCTTGTGACGAAAAACCACTATTTTAAAAAGTCAAGTCTTACTTCAATAGATACTTTTGTATATGTATATGAAAATCTTCAAATTTTACTTATCTAGTTGTCAACATAAATATATATCATAAATGAAAATTCGATTTAATGCACTGTTGCACATACTATATTTTGGTATCGAGATAAGGGCATATTTTCATACGTTTATTTTCAGTTTAGTTCAGCTCCTAATTTCCTTCTCTGATCTTATAAAATATTCATTTTAATTCAGCTCAACTCAGTTCAATTCAGTCTATTAGATTAGGCCCTAAGAATGACAATTTCAGATAATGTGGTTTAAGTTTTGATTTACTTCTAGCCCTCCAATTTTTAAGGGTCGAAACATAATCGAAAAACTTATCCAAATTTACTTCTATTCTAGTAGATTTCTTTTCCAAACACATGTAAATATGAACCCCAAATTGTCCATATATAGACAACAACACGTTTTGGAGGGAAGACTCATACTTGTATTTTTGGTTTGAAGAACAAACACATCCCCATAAAATAGGAAAATGGTAGAAAAATTATGAAAAGTGGTCCACCTAAATTATGTATTAATGCAAAACTGCCCAAAAAACTGTCTCAATAAATGATTAATTTAACTCAAATTTAATACTCAAACAACAACAAACAACTCCCTAAAAAAAACTTGTTCATCATCTCTCTCACTTTCTCTCTCCTCTGCATGTTCAACGCTCTTTTGCAGAGCTGTAGAAATTCACCCAAAATTTTCTTCTTAATGTTTCCCACGTCCTCCATTTTTACTTATTCTTTGAATCCCGCTCACAATTTCCATCCTTTTCAAAAACCCCATTAAAAAATTTGATCTTTGAAAAATTCTGTCAAAAATCTTGATTTTTTTAAAAAATTTTTGGGAATATTTTGATACCCATTTGATTTATTGACACAAATGACAGAAGTATTACATTCTCCATCTCATTTTTCATCATCCCCAGGAAGTACCCCTTCTGATACATTTTTCCAGCCTTATAATCAAAATCAAACCCCTAATTCTAATTCAAGCTCAAGTTCTGTGGATAGAAGAAGAAATAGTGGGGTTGATTGTGATTGTGATTGTGATAGTGATTCAAATTCAAGTTTTAGAGAGAGAAGTGAAAGTTTGAAGAGGAGAGAGAAAGAAAGGGAAGAGCTTTCCTTCCTGGCTCTTCTTGTAGCTTTGTTTAGGAAGTCTTTGATTGGTTGCAGCACTGAGAGGGAAGATCATCTTTCTTCTGGTATGGATATTGGTTGGCCTACCAATGTCCGCCACGTGGCTCATGTCACATTTGATAGGTTTAATGGCTTCTTAGGTTTGCCTGTTGAATTTGAGCCTGAAGTTCCTAGAAGGGCTCCTAGTGCAAGGTACATTTGCTATTTTGGTTGCTTTTTTGGGTCAATTTTTATGAAATTGTTGGTATAAGTGCACAATTTCATGTGAGTGTTCTGTAATTGTGCATTATGTGAGATAGAATTCTGCTAAACCAAGGTACATTTGCTTTTTTTTGGTTAATTTTTATGAATTTGTTGGTATAAAAGCATAATTTGATGTGTGTTCTGTAATTATGCATTATGTGAGATAGGATTTTGCTAAACAAAGGTACGTTTGTTGTTTTGGTTGATTTTTTGTGATAAATTGATGTGGGTGTTTTGTAATTGATGTATTATGTGAGCCGGGGTTTTGTTAAAGCAAGGTACATTTGTTTTTTTGGGTGATTTTTCGGATTAATTTTTTTAAAGTTAGTTGATATTGAAATTGATATGGATGTTTGTATTTGGTGCATTATGTGAGATGGGATTTTGACCGTTTTGTTAATGGTGATTGTAATTTGGTAAATTCAAGGCATATTGCATTTGGTGCATTATGTAAAAATGTGTTTTTGTTGATGATGGATGATGTGAGGGCAAAGTATGTCCAGATTGATGAGCGTCAGGCTCAATGTTCCTAAAAAGTATCTTTATTCTGGGAGAAATGGGGATTACATCTGTGATTTGATAATTGTAGGGTGTAAAGTAGTAATTTTAATTTTTTATTTTTGGGTGTAATGTGACGAGGGCGGAGAGCATGAGCATTAGATGCCTCTGGAGCTGGCTTTTTGGCTTCATGAACAAAATCCTGAAGCAAAATCATGCAATTATTATGCCTAAGATTACACAGTACTCCATAGCAAATAATATGGGACATTTCCTCTGCATATATGAGGTTGATGGTTTGGCCTTTATGATGTTCTGACTTTGTTCTTGCCATATAGTCATCTGTAGAGGGTCAATGACAATTTTCTGTACACATTTCTATCTACGCCGTAGTCATCTACATTCTGGTTTACATTTGATTGTCAAATAAAGATATAAATTTCATATTTTTCCATGATCATACCTGAATCACATTTGAGGCAAATCTAAAGCTATAAATCCATGTTCATAGATGTCTTATACATAATCTTATTTTGAGGTCAGTTATTTGTTTGTTACTAAAAAACAAGATTATTATGGTCGGGGAGTACTGGTAATATTTTCTAGTACTTAGCATTATTGTCTTAATTATCAAGTTTTATACTATCGATATTTTGGTTTAAAAAAAATTTACTATCGATATTTATGCTGCATTGTAGTTTCAGCCTTCTCTTAATCTGGATCCATTTAAATGTGCAGTACATCAGTTTTTGGTGTTTCCACGGAATCCATGCAACTCTCATATGACTCTAGAGGCAATTGTGTGCCAACAATACTTATATTGATGCAAAGGCGTCTCTATGCTCAAGGAGGCTTGCAGGTACATGCTTATATGCTATCTCTTGTAAATTCTATGGAAAATATAACATCCTTCAACAGTCCTAAATCATGATGAAATTATTGGATTAATTCTTGCTTTGTGTTGGTTGGACTCTTGAAGATTATCCATTGGAGGGGGGGGGGGGTTGATTTACTCCTTTTAAATGTGTTTCTTTTAATCTTTTTTTGCATTTCGGCATTAACAGTGTAATTTTGTGTCTGCAGGAGGAAGGAATATTTAGAATTACTGCGGACAATAGTCAGGAGGAGTTTGTTAGAGACCAATTAAATGGGGGTATTATACCAGAAGACATCGATATTCATTGTCTAGCTGGCCTTATCAAGGTATAACTATGAGTTTGGTATCCATTGACAAGCGATTTTGTTCTTGCTTGGTTCTGAATCTTATACAGAGAACTGCTTGAAATCGGAATCTCATAATACGTAAAAATCATAGAGCATAGTTTAGAGAACTCCCAACTGGTGTGAAAATTTTATGCTTTGAAAAGTTTTCTCCCAAAAATGGTTGTTATTCACATACTTTCAAAACTGAAAATTTGAAGTATCTTGAATTGTCTCTTTCCAGTAAAGTTCTCCTGCTGACTTTAATTTCCATTCTTTTCTCTAGGCATGGTTTAGAGAACTCCCAACTGGTGTTTTGGATCCTTTGGAACCCGAGGATGTGATGCAGTGCCAGACTGAAGATGATTGTGTTGAGCTTGTAAGGCTGCTTCCTTCAACGGAGAGTTCTTTGCTTGACTGGGCCATCAACTTGATGGCTGATGTTGTTGAAGAAGAACAGTACAATAAGATGAATGCTCACAACATTGCTATGGTGTTTGCTCCAAATATGACACAGGTATACCAATCACTACCTGCCCCTTTAGACTTGAAATAGTAGTAAAATGTATTGATTTTGATGTTTATTTGTGCGATAGCTGAAAATTTTAAGATTTTCAGTTTGACTTAGAAGCTTTGATCTGCTTAAATTCTGGAATATATGTTAGATAATACGTGAATATCTTATTATCTGACATATGTAGGCATTGTCACTTAATGAACTGGACGAATATATCTGCTGTGGAAGTTATTGGAAGCCAAATAGTTTTTCTTACAATTAAATTGGAAGCCAAATAATAGTGCTCTAATGCATCGTTAACCAATAACCATGCTATGGTTTCCTTCTTGTACTTCGTAATGGCGTAATCTACAGTTTGTGTCTGATTGACATGCTTGGGGCTAAATTTTTCTTCATTTAATCATGTATGAAATTTTCTAGCATAACACTGGATTGCAAGAGAATTGGCTTTCTTTAAGGCTTTTATCGACGAGTTGCTTTTTTATATGTAGATGGCAGATCCTTTAACTGCTTTGATGTATGCTGTCCAAGTGATGAACTTCCTCAAAACCCTAATCACCAAAAGACTGCAAGACAGAGAAGACGCAAGGATAGCCCCTTCTTGTCCTTCTTGTGCAGGACCCTCAGATGAGAGCGGACATCAAAGCCCGTCACAGGCCTGTCTGGGAGATTAT